TTCTGTTGGAGCGGTATGATTTCGGGCAGAGACGTACTTAGCCCTTCTCGTCAACTGGAGAGTGAGTACTTTTTCCTTTTTTTTTTTACTTGGTCGCCCTCGTTTCACTACACATTACCTTTGTTATTTCAAGGGTAGTTGTTTCTGAAAAGGAAAACCCCAACTTTGCGGACACCCTGTATATACATATATATATATATAATTCATATCGTTCATCTGTTTTACCTTTTTCTACAATGCTATTTATTTTATCCACATACAAAGAACAATAATACATTAGAAACCAATTATTTCATTTTTTTAAATCAATTATATTATTAATAAATTTTTTATCCCTTTTATAATGAATTTGCTTTTCTTTCCAGGTACAAGGAAAATAAGGACCTCATATATCAAAATTTCGACTAATATTTGCAAATGCACACAGACAATATGGCAATTTATATTTTTTGGAAACTGAACTGGCAAATCACTTCGGTCTGTGGTCCACAAAATCGAGCAGAATTAAATCGAGAAATCGTCGACCTCATCTCTAATTACTTGTACAATCACAATCCATTGCTCAAGCATATAGATTTCTTAAGGATGTCTATCAATAACAACAACAAAGCAATCGTCATCCAACATTGGAATTGTACATCAATAACAACCGTGCTCGAGATATCAATTTCAGACAATATGGCGCGGTACAGGCCAATGAAATAGCAGCCGTATTTATTTCTGAAGATGGGAGACCGCCCCTGGATCGTGCTTACATGTTTATTGTCGAGACAACGACCAGACTATCCACAAATTACCATATCTTAGTGTCAATTGCGATGCAATGACCTATCCTCTATTACATCCAAGAGGTGAAGCAGGATGGCAGTCTAGAACACCACATCAATATAGAAGAGGCTATATATCGTTACTGGAATATTATAGTTTCAGAATAGCTGTTCGACCAAATACCTTCAACCAATTTGTAATGGCAGGCAAGCTAACACAACAGTACATCGTAGATGCATACGTAAAAATCGAACAAAGTCGACTACAATTTATTACTGAAAATCAACCACGTATTAGGCAAGAAATATTTCAAGGATTAATCGACTATTTAGACTCTAGACAATTAGATGTTCATTATCAACCAGGAAATATTTTCATCCTACCGTCGACATTCATAGGAAGTCCACGCGCATTTAGACAAAACTATTTGGATGCCATGTCTATAGTCACAAAATACGGGAAACCAGATATTTTCCTAACATTTACTTGCAATCCTGCATGGCCTGAAATCAGGAAATAACTTAGATGCAAATCAACATTCCTCAAATAGACCTAATTTTGTATCCAGAGTGTTCAAGAGCAAATTAAAGGAATTAATAGAAGATATTGATAAACGACATATTATGGGAGTTTATGTTGCTTACGTTTACGTAATAGAATTTCAGAAAAGAGGACTTCCGCATGCGCATATGTTGGACCCTGCAGCAATCGACCGTTTAATTTCAGCAGAATTTCCCGACCCTATCGCGCATGCCAACTTGCACGAATTGGTCAAAGTACATATGCTTCATGGACCTTGTACCAGTGCTCGATGCTTAGATGAAGAAGGATATTGCAGCAAACAATTCCCGAAATCTTTGCGTGAAGATACCTTATACAATCCCTCTGGATATCCGTTATATAAAAGACGGCCAATAGAAACACCTATACATATAGGTCGAAGAACGGTAGATAATAGTTGGGTTGTACCATATAACGCTTATCTACTTGAAAAATACGAAGCTCACATAACGTGGAGGCTTGCTCTTCAATGAAAAGCGTAAAATATTTACTTAAATATATATACAAAGGATTTGATAGAGCTCAAATTGTCGTACGAACCGTGGAAGAAGACGGTCAAACAACAACTATCCAGGAACCTATGTACAACGAAATTCAAATGTTTCTGGACGTTCGCTATGTTAGCGCGCCTGAGGCGATGTGGAGGATTTATACATTCGAAATGCACGATATGTCTCATGCTATTATTAAACTCTTTGTACATCTTCCGAATATGCAACAAGTCTATTTTAATACAAATAGTACCATTCCTGACGTCGTAGAAAGGGCCGCAACACAACACACTACGTTAACAGGATGGTTCGCCTTAAATACCCAAGATGAAGAAGCTAGACAATACACATACGTACAGATACCTTATAACTATGTGTGGAAAATAACACAAACAAGAATCTGGGTAGAACGTCAACGTCATTTTAATCGTATAATTCCTAGATTATATTTTGTACATCCTAGAGAAGGTGAAAGATTTTATCTTCGTCAACGTCTTTTGCATAAAACAGGATGTAGATCATTCCAAGACATTAGTACTGTACATGGCCGTACGTAGAAAAAAAAAGTTCGAACAGCCTAAGGTTATGCCCGCTACGTCATCACTTTATACCCTCTCCCTTGCGTCGATTGTACCCTATAAGAATATAGGAAATTGTTGTGACAGTCTCTGGTAAGATTTATGGACATCTGTTACCGCCCTCTTAATGTGGTCCAGTTCTAATCGTGGCGAATATTTATATCGTAGAAAGCTTAAAAATGTATGTGGTCTTCAATGTCCAGAAATTATGTTGTTGTTGAGGCTGTTAAGGGACATCCCACTCTCAGTAAGCCATAGGCGGAAGGTTTTTTAGTATGTAGATACGCAAGTTTCAGTCAGTTGAGATTGTTGACACAATTGCGATCTAATGAGACGTTTGTTCGATTTATTTATTTTTTTATTTATTAACCATATCATATTTTATATTTGATTGTGTTGAAAATTATTAATTTTATGGGGTTTGTGGATATTTGATGGAGATCCATAAATCAAAATATAAAATAGTGAGCAGGTACCTACATATAATAGACACACTATTGAAGGGTAAAACCCCAAAGTTGGCAAACAACTGAAAGTAATTAAATTAATCCTAAGACTGTGATCCGCTTATATCTATACCAATCATGAGATTTCCTAGAGTGCATCATTAGTACCTAGATAAATAGGCTAATACCAATATCAAACGTAGGTAAACAAAATTAGTAGAAACAAATCTAATAATAACAAGTGTAAAATTGAACTACCTGGAATAATTCCCGGTTGCTAAATCCCTTTGTTCGTAAGTAGCGTTAAGACGATGAGTGTTAATTAATCACATTTATTTTACCTGCAACAGATATATAAACCTGTCCGTTAGTCATAAGTTCAGTTTGTAAACTAATTTGAACAAGGCACCGTGTGTAAAAATTGTCAAATAGATTGCAATATAGTGGACATTTTTACTATTGTTCAAATTTAAATTATTAATAGTTTTGAACCAGTGATCTAAACAATGTCTGTGAAAGAGATTGGCGTGAAAGGAAAGGCGATTGGGAGTCAAGGAAAGGAAATTATCAACAATGTCAATAACTTCATGGTACAGGAAAGTGTAGAGGGATTAAAGTTTCCACTTCAACAATACCGGTATGTATGAATGTAAAAGATTTTTATAATTATTGTCAATTGAAACTGATTAACCCATCTAGGAAACGTGTGTTAGCTGCCACGGGTATAAGTAAATGTACTTATCAAAAAATAGCTAAAGAGAGCAGAGATGGAATATATTCAAGCAACTTTTCATTTTCATCCCCATCTAAAAAGCGGCAACGAAAATCACCTGTTGTGGATAAAGTGACTGCAGGCTAAATTGAAGAAATGAAAGCAATCATATACGATTTTTATATTTGGGAGAAAAGAAGACCTTCGCTGAAATGTAAGTTTTTAAATTGTAACCGTAGCATCTAGTCATATTTCATTTTAAGATTTTTTAGGTATTTACCAAAAAATGCAAGATCGACAACTCAATTTTGAGGGTAAAATAACGACTTTGAACGAACACTATAAAGTTTTTGATTTACAACGCTATAAATATAATTTATATCTACAGATGGAAAAGAACTACTGAAAATAAAAAAGCTCTCATGGAAAAATATGAAATTCGCTTGAAGCGTATCGAATATCTGAAGCAAATTATGAAATATAGAGCTGAGAACAGGAACATAATTTATACGGATGTAACATATATACATTCTAGTCATACCCCAAAAAAAGGATGGTCAGATGACAATTATGACAAGGAACTAAAAACGCCTTTATCAAAAGGACAACGAATGATTATTGTGCATGCTGGTGGAGAATTCGGCTTTATTCCTAACGCCTTGTTGATATTTAAATCAGGTATTATTTGTGTTACAATGATGTAAAATATTTCCAATATATTTTTACATTTACTGGAATATATGTATGTATTTTATTTTCAGGCTCAAAATCTGGGGACTACCACAACGACATGAATCATTTGAACTTCATGAAATGGGCAGAAAGCCAATTGATCCCAAATTTGCCTGAAAATTCTGTGCTTGTAGTTGACAACGCTTCTTATCACAATGTCCTGGAAGAAAAAAATGTAACCTCTTCTAGCCTGAAATCAGAGATGATTGACTGGCTAGAAAAACATCAAATTCCTAGTGAAAACTCATTGACTAAGGCCGAACTATATAAAAAACACAGGAAAATTTCCAGTCAAATACAAGCTAGATGCCTTAATGGAACAGCACGGGCATAAAGTTTTACGACTGCCTCCATATCATCCGGAGCTAAACCCAATCGAGAAGATTTGGGCTCTCGTAAAAAACTGGGTTGCTCCACGAAATGTGACATTTAGGTTGTCTGATGTGGAGCATCTGACCCGTAGCAGGTTTGAAGAAATTGGAGCAGATGAGTGGAAGAAAATTTGTAACCACGTGAAAAAATATGAGCAAGCACAAATGGAAAAAGAAAATCGTCTCGACGATCAAATGGATAAGTATCAGTTCACTGTGAACACAGGGTCATCATCAGAAGATAGTGACGAAAGCGACTCAGATGAAGATTTGGAGCTAAACACACTATCATCTGATAGCGATTAGATTTTTTAATGATAATATATAATTTGAATTATAACCGTCTTTAGTTTGCTCCCTCTTCTAATTCAAATTTGCTTCCGAAAAACTTAATGCGCATACTAAATAATATAATAATACAAAAATCAATTAATGATCAATGTCTACACAACCTATTCACTTTATTTTATACTTCAAATAAAATAGAACGCCACTGCGCTCTATCGACGACCGCGTGATGAGCGGACCCGCCCACGATGACGTAGCGGTCATATTCTAAGAGCGTTCGAACTCTACGAAACGTTCCGTGACGCTGCTATTGCGATGAACCTTCTCACGGATGATAGTATTTGGTTCACCATGTTGCAAGAAGCTATACACGTACAACTTCCACGAGCTCTTCGTCGTATGTTTTCACAGATGTTGCTGTTTTGTGAAATCGAAAATCCATTAGCATTGTGGGAACAATTTAAATATCATTTATCTGAAGATTATATACGACGCTTAAATGATAACGACCTAGCCTACAACTATGCCTTGGCTTACATCAATCGATACCTAGCACTACAAGGTTAATATTTCTATCAATAATTACTTTTATTAATTCATTTAAAATTGATACTTATGTTTTCAAATACTTTTTTTATTTCACATTTTTTAAGCATATTGAAATCATTTATTTTCGTATTAGAAAATTTTTGAATTTAATCACTTTATATGTAACAGTACTGTGATGTAATATGAATTCAATATTTAATATATTTATCGCTATTAATTTAACACAACATAAGCATTTATGTTCCAATCAATTTCAGATGAATACAAAATTATATACTAAGTGACATATAAATCCGAACACCCAGTTTAAATGGTTTTATTTTAATAAAATTTTGTATAAGTACTTAATGAAGCATAATAAGTAAATGATAAAAATTTCAAAATGATTGCACTGCTTTAAAGCCCTTTGACCTTTAATAATATGTGGATGCACCCTGATGTGCTACGCATTCTCCAACGCGCCTAGGCATGCTTCCGATCAGGTGGTCAATGTCTTCCTGTGGTATCTCATTCCAGGCAACCACCAACTCCTCTCGAAGTGCTTCTAGAGTCTGAGGAGGACGTTGCAAATTGAGCAATCTCCTACCCATCATATCCCACACGTGCTCAATTGGGGATAAGTCGGGAGATCTTGGTGGCCATGGTAACAATGTGACATCATTATGTTGAAAGAAGTCTATTGTGACTCTTGCAACTTGTGGTCGGGCATTATCTTGTTGGAAAGTTGGACTTGCCAGGGTGTCAAGATAGGGTAAAAGATGGGGTTCTAGAACTTCGTGGATATAACGCTGCGCGTTCATGTTACCTCTGATGAAGATTAAAGGTGACCTGGAACCATAAGCTATAGCACCCCAAACCATAACTCCAACAGTGTGATGAACATGTCTTTCAACAAAAAACTGTGGATTCCTCCTTTCACCACGTCGCCATCTAACCCTGGCACGACCATCGTGCATGCCTAAACAAAATCGAGACTCGTCACTAAAGACAATGCTGTTCCATTCCTGATCCCAGAGTGACCGTTGTCTACACCACTCAAGGCGATTACGTCGGTGTTTTCGAGTTAAAGGGAGGACCCAGTGGGGCCGGTATGAAAACAAGCCAAAACTTCTCATTCGTCGGTAAACACTTCGCATGCCAATAGGTCTTCCGTGTTCTGCAAACCATTCATTTGCAATGGACCTGGTAGTGGAGAAACGGTCCCTTAAGGCCAATTATCTTAGGCGGCGATCTTCACGGTCTGTTGTTCTCGAAGCCATGCCTGACAACACCTAACTACAGTGTCTACACTTCTTTGCACTCTAACTGCAATTGCCCGAAAAGAAAGTCCAGCTTCCCGAAGTCCCACTATACGGCCCCTATCAAACTCACTAAGTTGACGAAATCGTACAGGTCTGCGTACTCTAGGCATCGTAACCGATCGTAAAGGATGTCAAGAACCAAAATCCGCCAACGTTGATTCTTTACTGCGGCTGAAATATTCATTTTTAGAGCGTTAGTGAATTAAAAAAAAGCAGTATAAAAACCAGAATGTCCAACTGATCACTTGTTATTTACAGTAAGATAAATACATTCACCAACTTTTATTAAAATAAAACCATTTAAACTGGGTGTTCGGATTTATATGTCACTTAGTATATTAAAACTATATTATGATAAGTAATTACTCAATATAATTATAAAATGTTTATACAACTACTTATTACATTTTTATTTTTAGGCAAATCAAACAGAGACTTTCAACTGCTCTTACCCACTGAACCAGTAGAACACCTAATCGAAGATGAATACGATTATGATCAATCAGAAGAACAAGAAATTGCTAATAGGAACATTCCCCTTTTAAACCAAGAGCAACGACGTATTTTTACCGATATACTTTTAGCCGTAAACGAAAATGAAAGAGTTTCACATCGTCTTTTCTTTATTAAGGGAATTGGAGGTGCAGGAAAAACATTTCTATTGAATACACTACTGACTTACCTACTAGGAAATAATCACCGTTACATTGCTATCTGTTATACAGGTATCCCAGCCAGCTTACTGAAAAATGGCCAAACGATTCATCCTGCTTTTATGTTACCGGTTCCATTTCTAGAAAATTCAACGTCAAGGATTCGCAATCAGAGTGCGATTGCTGATAATATTAGATATTCAAAAATTATTGTCATTGATGAAATATCGATGGTACATAAAAGTATATTTAATGAAATAGGTAGGAAGATAAGAGAAATAATGAACAATGACATTCCACTTGGCGGCAAGATTATTATAATTCTAGGCGATTTCAGGCATTGCGCACCTATCGTTCCATTGGCCGGCAAAAATGAAACTATTTCTGCATCAGTGAAATGTTCCCAACTATGGCAACACTTTGTTAAGTACGATCTTCTTACGAACGTTAGAGCACTGCCACAGCAAAACGAATTCAAAGATTGGCTCATGACCATAGGAAATAATTCCGAAATTTTACGTCACTTAGAAAATGGCAGAGATACTATAGTCAAAGTTCCTAACCATATTATTGTAGAAAATGTTACTGAAAGCATTTACGGTAGCAATTTAATTGAACACGATTCCACACTATTACAAAAAGCGATTTTGTCTCCGTTAAACATTCATGTGAAGGATATCAATGCAGTTGTTTTAGAAAAACTGCCAGGCAGATCACGACAATATATAGTGTTGATAGTATTATCCGAGAAGACGATACAACTGAAAATGCTGCTGATGATTTAGATTCCGCATGTCCACAAGACTTTTTAAATTCTTTGGATGCTCCAAGACTTCCTCCCCACATTCTTACACTAAAGATTGGTGCAGTTATCATTTTAACGAAGAATTTAGATCTAAAGAGAGGTTTATGTAACGGCACACGCTTATTGATTCATAATTTACACGAAAATTTTATAGAAGCAAAACGAGTAGAAGACCCTAATAATGAACCTTCGATCGAATTAATTTCCAGAGTTGACAACATCGCTCTAAACTCTCTTGATCTACCAGTCAACTTGAAAAGGAGACAATTACCTGTACGTTTGGCTTTTGCAATGACAATTAATAAAAGCCAAGATCAAACTTTGAGCAGTGTATGAAATCTTTTTCTCATCGATAAGGGTACATCTTTATAACATAGCTTTCTGAAAAATCAGAGAACTACAGGGTGATTTTTAATGGTTGGGGGCAATCAATGTGCCCATTGATAATTTTGTGCAAGAAAAGTAAGGCAAATTCCATGCTGAATCTTTCAAAAGAAGTCATACCTTTCTAATGTGTTATATGAAAAAGACCAGTGTTATCAACAAAGATACCCCTCATATTACGAAATTTGATATTAAAAATATTATATACTCTGTATATTTCCAACTGAATATGTAAAGCATGGAGGTCTTTTCTACATTTTTTGCAGTTATAACTTGGGGACAAGTTAGAACAGCAATTTTTTTATATTACATAACCTTCGCTATGTGCACCAGTATAATTTTTATGTTGAATAACTGTTAATAATGCTTTAATATAACTACTATTAAAATCTATATTGTTCACATATGATGGGTGTTATAATATATATGTAGACATACTTTAACCATCGAATCCTTGGTCAATTTGATAACGAAATTTCCATATGAACATGGATCCGCAACAGCTTTGTTTTCAACCTAAAGCATATTAGCACAAAGAAATATTGATGTTCTAAGAAATTATAAAAGAATGGAACATATTTGGTGTGGTGAATATCACATGATTACAGTTGTTTTCAGATCCTCCATGTACGTAGATACGGATAATGTTATCCAGCGTTTTTTGAAAAAATAGCATGACAATGATTTGATTTAATCCCAATACTTTTCATATAATGACATTTGGGAATTAACTTTCAGAAACATAATTTTTCTTTTCATTATGTTGTATTTTCTAGGTTAGAAAAAACCTATGACATTGACTTAACATCACAAAACAAAAAACATTTACACTGAAAAAGGAACAGTCCCGTGCTGTCCATAGGCGAACACGATTGATTTATGGCTAGAGATGATCGATATATCGGTACCGGCGACCTTTCCCGGTGACTTCAATGGTCGCCGTTAGTCCCGGCGACCTGATTCTCCATGAAGCAGCGACCCAGATCGCTGTTTGGAAGTATCGGTAACCACTGATCGGTAGCTGTAACGCTGTTTCGGTCGCGGTCGCTGCCAGGAAGCATATACACATCACGTTCGCGATCATCGCGCGGGAAGTACAGGGTCGCTACGGCGTAGCCTAACCTATTTTGTTAGTTTTTATTGTTATTGTTGTGAGTTCCTGTTTCATAGAAAAATGTTTCGTTTATTAAGCAATGTTTAACATATAAAAGAAGCATTTTTATACTACATTTGTTATGTTTTAAAAGTTTTATTTTGACTGGTAAAACAGTATTTTGTTTTCCTTTTTAAGATTCATAGAAAGATATTTTATGTATTTTTATGATTTTATGTGTTTTGTGCTCAATATTGTTAAAAACAAAAACCTTAAATATAGTTTAATTCAAATCTTCAGGAACCTGAACATCTACACCTCGTTAGTATCAATGGATAACCGCCGCCAAATATCGAGTAATGTAATCAGCGCCAGGGAGTCGCTGGCTGCTGGCAGCGACCATAGATAAGCAGTGACCTAAAGCGCTGCTAAATCTACCGGCGACTTTAAGGTCGCTGTCACCGATATCCCGGCGACTTCCAAGTCGCTGCTAATATCATCTCTATTTATGGCAGTCAAGCGCTATTTTTTTGGCACGTCACGTGATTGCCAGATATATAAGCAACGTTAAATCTGAGCTTATTATACAATTTTATAGAGGACATTAATACTGTATGCAAGATTTTATAACGCCATCTGTGTTATTAACGACAGATGCGACGTTGCCGGCTCCGCACATAAATCTGAGTATGTTATAAAATTTTATAGATGGTATTTTTAATGCTATATGGAAGATTTTATAACGCCATGTTAACTGACAACTCACAACAGATAATGTCAGATGTCAGATACCAGGTACCAGATAACAGATAACAGATCAAAGGTGATAAAGGATAGATAATGATTAGAGATAGGGATAAAGTATATCATTAACATTGCATTAGCATACCAGCAACTGCGCTACGTGAGGTTTTAAATAAAGACATCAACATACAACATTTTGCATAGCGTTAGCATGCCAGCAACCGCGCTAGTCGACTATATTAAGCGGTGGTCGATTGTTTTTCGTAGAATGCCACGTGACGCTAGAGATTCAGGCCGTGCGACGTCGACGCGGTTTTTCCGGTTTTTTTCCCGGTTCGCGAAACGTTCGCAAGGAAAGAGGTACCTTTTCGGAAAGTAGAAACTCGACGCTTTACCGGGGAGCGGGAACCGTCGCGGTGAGAGGAACGGATCGGATCGAAAACGGCCGGTAAAGTCGAAAAATCGACCGTTTGTCGGGCGGTACGCGGCGTTATTTCACACTCGTTTCGCCGTTTATCGAAATATCGACTCGAGATCGGTCTCGTTCGATAGCTAAACGAGAAATACGTGCCTATCAGCTGAATCCGTTCGGTTCCGCGTCTCGGTTTTTTTTCTAGGAATGTTCGAAAAAAAAGCGACAAAAATGACGAATCGCCCGGAAAACTACGATATCTCCCTTATGCCGAAGAGAAAAGGAATTTCGCGCGCCGCGTTTCGTACATCTCGGCGAGCGCTACAAATTACGCGGAGAGACGTTTTTTCGTTTACGGTACCCGTTTCGAATAAACGAACCTCGAACGTCGTCAAGAATGACTTTTTGCGTATAAAGCACGCTGCTTCGCCGTCGATCAGACATCTCCTCCGAAGATAAAGGAGCTACGAACCTGACGATTTTTGCGTGAGAAAGCCCGGACATCGGACACAAAGATAGCGTCTTTGTTTTTCCTTTATCCCTTGTCGTTCGAAAGTTTCGATTTTTCAAAAATTGCCCGACAACACGCTACATTTCGATGCGTGGAAAAGTTATTTTGTCATCCGGCTCTGTCTTCGCCTATTACTACCGTACGTGAGCGAGTAAAAATTATACAGCTATCGAAAAATAACGATAATGAGCTGACGAAACGATTCTGACCGTCAGAATTACCGTCAAATTTCGAAAAAGTAAACTTTGAGCGCCTCAAAAGTACCGATGACAACCGTTTTTCGGCGTACTTTGTCTTCGTCGATACGGACCTGCGTTACGGAGCGACATGGCTACGATTTTTTTTCGCAAAACGAAAGACCAAAGTCTCCTGATTAAACCGACATACGACACGTTACCCGATCGCATTTTTTAAACACGGCTGATTACAAAATTCAAAGATATGTACACATTTTTAGTTTGACGTTTCAATTTTGAATTTCCGCTCCAGATCCCCGGATTCCTGTTAGGCGGGGTATTGTAGATATGATCGTATTACGAAAGTGAGCGCGTGCGAGCGGAACATCCGAAACGTGCTATTTTCGGCTTTATGTCGGTCGCTTCATCGAATATAGGATCACGCCGAATACCATTGTCCTTTTTTACGCGTGAAAATCAACATTTTCGAAAAGATTCAAAATTTCTATATTCCATTGTCTAAACGGACCGGACTATAGCCATTAAAATCGTATGAATCTAGTAGTTTTTTATGTTTACAGATTGCGATGTTTACCGCCAGAGGCTGCAATTATTCTTTGACGTTTATCAGTTTATTGAAATCATCATCGGTTTATAAATACGATAAAAATATGATTGTAAGCCCCTATTCATGTTATAATTTTACAATATGTCATAAAGCTCCGCTTTTCCAACCGATTGATATAAAGCATATGTCTGATTGCATCACCTCCTATTTCTAACCTACAAAGTATGAATGTAAACATTATCGAAATCTTAATAATGAGGCTCCCGTTAATAAGGATTAATTAGAAGCTTAGAACAAGCAATCACAACTACACATAGTGAAAGTGTTGTGAAGTGTTTACAGTGTATGTATTTCTATGGCAAACGTAAGTAGTCTCAATCACGTTTCATTTGAATTTATTACTTGTTGATTAATGCAATTAAAACTTGAGCGATGCTCTCTGTTGTCTAAACAATCATTCAGAATAATATGTAACCATTCAAATTTCTGTACAAGTGATGAAAATTGTTGATTACTTTCATGTTTTGAATGCAAATGGAATCATAGCTCACTTTTACATAGGCATTTGTGTTAGGTGTGAGATTATGTCAGTGCACTATTTCAAGTTTGTGACTACTTCTATGAAGTTCAGTAAGAGTTCAGTCTTGACCCTCAGTTCAATTTATCTAAATATGTAGATCTATTAGCTGGCTAACAGTGCTACATTATTATAGAATTCTCTATTACATAGGAGGATCTATCCCTTCGATTGGCACATATTATCAAGCAGATGAAGGAATATGCAAAGCGCTGAAAAATAGCATTGATAATCATATCTACTACCAAAGTTTTCAAAATGACTAAGACTTTCACAGCCACTGCAGTTGTTTATTTTGATCTCAATGCAGAATGTATGTACTTCGATTTAGAATGTAGCTGCTTTAAGGACTTGTCAAAACAACAGACACCATTACTTGTCAAAATTTGTAAGATAAATACTCTTGCACAGTATAATCGTAACTTGGTATAGACATATTTGTGATATCGCTTAGATTAAGCCTGCCAGGGGAGTGAAAGTTACCTATACGAAACGCAAATACAAGATTGCTTTCTCAATTTTTTTTCAATTCAACCTCATAGAAGTACATATTTGTTGAATAGCTTTGAAAAGATCGAGGGACTACCCTGTTATAGCTGGAGTACTGAACTCTACATTAAAATAATTTATGATGCCATGTGTTGTATCTAAA